AAGTGTTAACAAATTTGTTAACACTTTAATAACTGGTACATAGTACTGTGCCAGTATTCAGTACCCGAAATTGGTACTGGCCCAGTACTTTACCAGTATTCAATTCTCACTTGGGAATTATAAGAATCTTTCATTAATCGTGACCATAAAATTAGACGCCAAAACAATCATTTTGTTCTAAAATAACGTTACCTTTAACATATGGTTTGTATATATAATACTACAAGTCAAATATATATTGTTTTTTTATATACAGTAGATCTAATCATCTATAATATACAGTCATCTAATGTTACACATATGCTATGTTTTTCTTGACAGGACACGTACAAAAAATAATATAATATTTTTATATTAATAGATTGTTCTTTTTAGTGAAATAAGTTTTTTCTTATCAAATGTATCTTTAAAATATTATCCACTTGCCATAGCGCTCTTGCTGTAGTCACTAATAGTAAAGTTTTCAAAATTGTTTCAGAAATAAGCGAGGAAGCTCTTAAAGAAGTCGATTCCGACTTCAAGAAGGCCATGATGCCCAGAATTTTATCCACATTGCCAAAAATACCGATCACAGTCGAAGAATTACGATTTTTATATTTTGGTAACAAAGCAGTATCAGAAAACACTCTAATGAATTACGCAGATTTTCTTGGCGATATCAATTTCTATCGCGGTACTATGGAAATAATCGATATTCAAATGAATTCCAACACACCAACGTACCTGTACAAATTTTCATATGAAAGTGAAAATTCTCTCGGAAAGAAAATAATGGACGTTTCGCTTCCAGGTATAATGTCCCTATTTTATATACAATCGCATAAAAATCTTTAATCCTTTACGTATTCGTGTACGAATAAACTCATACCATGTTTTAAAGTAATGTTAAAAAATCAAATGTGTATCAAACATTTAGAAATATTTCACTTGAAAAAATTAAAGATTATTTTGCAATATTTGCAAACATTATTTTGAAATGGAAATTGAGTCTGCATTTTTAAGAGTAATCTGTTACATGACAATATTTAGAAGTAACCCATGGTAAAAATATATTCTATTTATTTATATTATATGACAATATTTTGTAGGAGCAACCCATGGTGAAGATCTATTTTATTTATTTCATCCTCATATGATGAAAGATTTCGGTTTTCCACCACCTGCACTTGATTCGCAGGATTATAAAATAATAAATAACTTAACGCAGATGTGGACGAATTTTGCCAAAACAGGGTACGATGAAAATATTTTTTCGAATGTTACGGAGATTTTGAAATTGAGTATTAATAATTAATTTTCAACTTGTAGAGATCCAACGCCTGCTATTACGGATTTGACACCCACTAAATGGACTCCACTGAAGCGCGGAGATGTATACAATTATTTAAATATTGATATCAAACCTCGAATGGAAATCATTCGTAAAGAAGAACACCGCTGCAATTGGAAAAGTATAAAGCACAAACTATAAATTTTTGTCTGCTGGAACATTATTTACATAAAAATGATATGTTAACATTATATTATTTACATTAAAATTAAATTCTACAATTTTTACGTTTGTAATAAATACCTATTGCTTTCATCGGTGTATAAAAATATCTTTTGTATTTAAAATCACACGCATGTAAAAAATAGTTTACGAAAAAAAGTGATAGGAATTAATAATATATTAATTATATCCAATGTTGTTATATGTTATATGTTGTTTTATGTTGTTATAGTATTTACAATTTATAGACATATCAATTCTATCTATTCCAAAAATAAAATATATAAAATTTAAATTTGATGTTTGTTACTTAAAACGATATTAATCGAAAAAAGTGAATGTACAAATGTGTAAATAAATATTATAGGAACTATTGTTGTTTATAATAATTGCGTAAAAACCTTGTCTTAATATAATATGTATTAATTTTAAGCTTACTTGCAAGTATAGTGAAAAATTGAAACTTGAGAAATTGTGAGGAAAAATCACGATTTTTTTTGTTCAGAAAACATTTTATTTTAAATCAAATGAAAAAAATAAAGGTCTATGAGCTAAACTAGTATAGTGTTCACAAAACATATATTACGATATTTGAAAAATTTAGTGCCATTTTATATGCAGAAGAAGTCACGCTTTGTGTATTGTGCAATAACACGTGAACGCCTATAGCTATTCTTGCTACACTGAGCGTATGGCACTACAAGAAGATTTCTTTAGTTAACGCAGTCTTGCGTAATCCATCCATAAATTAGATACATTTTAACCTCTTCTCGTTTAAAAATCTCTGTAGATTTCCACAGATGGAAATAGTATTCCGGAATGCGTGCGTGATAATAATTTATACGGAACGAGATGCAGATATGGCAAGTTCAACAGTAATGACGGTTAATGCCATGTAAATTAGTCGGAGAGACACATGTCAAGGTTTACGATTAAAATGTAAAATTTTATTTTAGATTTGTAAATAACGGTGTCTACATTCTAAATTTAGTTTGTACATGTATATGTATTTCCTATATATACTATTCTTTTTTTTTTTTTTCAAAATCTGTCAAAGTTAAAAGTGATTTTATATTTTATGTAAATCGTTATACAGATTTCAATTCTGTCTTTATCTTTCCTTCAATTTATTTGCAATTTTATGAGTTGAATTACATTTATAGTACATCGAAGAGCTTTATATTCCTTGCACATTTCGAGACATTGCAAGACGCATAGCAAATTTTTCTAGACGTTCGAAAAAAATATAGCAAACATAATGCAAGTTGGTTTAAGCGCGTTACGTAAAACATTCATAAGGCATAAATACAACTTAATCAAATCAATTCAGATTCAATCCCACTTGTCTTGAAATAGCTCTTATCTTTCTAAAGTACACATACACAGATATATCAATAGATTATATAAAGACAGAGAACTAGATAGCTCCTGTCATTCTTCTAATAGACGTCAATCGTTCACTATGGATAAAGACAAAGTTGAAATATGCGTGCAGGAAGGAAAATTAACTGGTGTCGTGGAAAAAGGTGTTTACGGTGATAACTACATCGCCTTTAGAGGAATACCATATGCGAAACCGCCGATTGGAGAACTCAGATTCAAAGTAAGAAAAGATAAAATTCCATTACCTATCATATATATATCTTTTTATCAAATCAGTAATAAATTTCAGTTTTGGTTAAAACTGATTACTCATCGCGCCTTAAGAAGATTATAAAAATAAAAATTAGCTCTTCAGAAAACTGCAATTAAACGATACTGATAAAACTTTATCAATTTTCCTATCGATAAATTGTTTATCAGTTGTATTACAGAATTATTATATAACCTGTTTTTTATCTATTGTAGAATATTATATAATCTGTTTTCTTCTTCATTATTATATAATCTGCTTTTCTCTATAGATATGTAAAAAAAAGTAGGAAAATGTTTAAAGTAGCAACACTAAAGAAAATTATAAAGCTCGATTATTCGAAAAAATAGTTATTTTTTAACGATTTATTTATAACATAAATTAATTTTTCAATTTGTTAAACAATATAAATTAGAAGTAATATTAATATAAATTAAATTTAAAGGTATCTTTTACAAAAAAGAATAATAAATACGTATAGTTGTCATTAAATTCATGCGGAACTTAGAGCGCTTGTTAGTGTTTAGTAGCTTCTATTATATAAATACATAGAATAAATATTTATATTCTTCAGCATATATGTAAGCCAGAAAGGAGACGTGGTTTACATGAAATATAATACACTTGACCATCCATTTCTTTTTTCAAAAATGCTTTTCTATATATTTATATCTTTTTATCAAACTTTTTTTTCTTATAATCCTTTACATTAGCCTTAGTTCTTTTTTTTCACTTTTCTATCTTTATACATTTATACGTTTATATCTTTATACCTCTATATATTTAATAACTATTATTTAAAAATTACTACTTCGAACGCAATATTAAGTAAGAAAAAGGTTGTTTCTTCGGGCACAGAAACTTACATCGTGCATATATGGGATTTTTAGGATCCGGTACCAGCAGAATCATGGTCCGGTAATAGAGATGCCTCAAAGTACGGAAACATGTCCGTTCAATTGAACCCTTTTACACACGAAATTGAGGGCGACGAAGATTGTCTCTACTTAAATGTGTACACCACGAAAATCGAACCTTCGAAGAAGCGTGCGGTAATGGTATATGTACACGGCGGTGCTTTCTACCTGGGTTCCGGTGATGCACTCTTCTACGGTCCTGATTACATCGTACGGAAAGACGTTGTTTTGGTTACCTTGAACTATAGACTAGGCGTTCTAGGTACGTTACTCGTTTCAATAATGCATAATCATTGTTGTATCATTTGTGTTTGCCGTTTTTATTTAGTAACTATTCAATCTCTATTTTGAATAAGTTACTTGAGACCATCTTACAAATGATACATAAATACATTGTCAAAGTTAAACATTTAAAAAAATGTAGACTCATAAAAGACAGTTAATTTATACAAAAAGTTAAATTCATAATATGTTCAAACTACGTTTATAAATGTCCACGTCTTATATATTTTCTGCATGTAAGACTATTTTGCCGATTGACATATTAGAAGCAAATTTTAGCGTAATTTACTTTAGAAATAATAAAGTAATAATCTATTTTTAATTAAAATAAATCGATTTTGACAAAAAGTACATTAATGTGTGTAACAGGTTTCCTGAATCTCTACGACAAAGTGGCGACAGGTAATCAAGGTCTCAAGGATGTGGTTATGGCGTTACGATGGGTCCAGAAAAATATATCACAATTCGGAGGAGACCCAGGAAATGTTACTGTCTTCGGCGAAAGTGCTGGTGGAGCTATCGTACATTATCTAACTCTGTCTCCGTTAGCGACAGGTATATAACGTATTTTCTCGATAGTAGACCCTCTTATTGATATACAATAATTTATAGCGATTTGCGGTTGGGATGCACCGATTGCACATTTCGGGTGTTGTGTGTTCGGTTGATCGAATGATGCAGTCCCTCGTCAATGTCGCATGTTCGTTTGGACTCGGTATGCCGCACAAGTGCATATTGGGTGTACACAAAGTGGCTCTCACAAATTAGTCGGGGCCAGTTGATGTAATTCCACTGTACCCATTTGCATCAGCTCTACACTGTGCACTAATGGCACACTGATGCAGACTAATGCAGATCAGCCGAAATCGCTATTAAAATTTTCAAATCTAATTCCACTTAATAATGAATTTATTCATGATTTTCAATGTTTCATTTTTCTTAACGGAAATATTCATACACTAAAACGTTTACATATAAAAAACAAAAAGCTCCGCGAATCTACTAGATAGATAATAAATCGGTTCTTTCTCTTTTAATTAATTTCAAATTAAATATATGTATGTTTAGAAATCTTTAATTTGTTTTTTAATGTTTATTTCGAATTTTAATTATAAAATCATATTAGTGAAATGTTGAAATTTATAAAATAATTAATAACTTTGAGAGAGAGAGAGAGAGATTTTCAATAAGATGAATCACAAAATTATTAGAAAAAAATAATTACAAAAATTCGCATCAATTCTATTTTGCAAATTATAAAAAAAAAAGAAAAAATATTTTTATGTTAACAAACGGTAAGAAATTAATTTTTTTGATTGTTTTATAGGTTTATTTCACAAAGCAATACCACAAAGTGGAGTCGCAAGGTGTCCTTGGGCCTTTACCGAAAAATCGATGAATAAAGGTTTTCGATTTGCCGAGAAACTCGGAAAAGCGACCGCAGATCCAAAAGTCGCTTACGAGTTTCTTAAAACAATCGATGCCAAAAAACTTATAGATACGGAACAGAATTCTCTCTTAACACAAGCAGTAATTATCAGAAAATTTGATTATAATTTTACGAGTGCAGGTTAAATTACGCAGTATACAGACTAGAAATTGTGCAAATAAAATACTTTCTTTGATAATATCTTTTCGCAGGAGCGTGAACAGAATTCCTTGATATTTACGCCCAGCATGGATCGCGAATCATCGAATCCATTTTTCACGGAAGATCCAGAAACGTTTATGCGTCGCGGAGTTAAAGTACCATTACTTTTGGGTTTTACCAGTTGCGAGGGATCTTTCATTATATGCAGTAGCTTTAGAGGACGTAAGTTTTGTCTTTGACTTCATTAAATACTTAACATTTTTAATCGCTTCGAATTTTCATAAAGCGTGTTCTGTTAAAAATAACGTGACATTGGTGTTAAATGATTTAGTAAGCACTATTTAGTAATGCATTGCTAATGTTTCATAATTAGATAAAAATTTAAATAAAATGATCATGGATAGTATTGTACATATATCTACATAAAATTAGAAAATTAGAAAATTTTAAACCACAATTTTCGCATATATAAGAATCGTAATTATGCGTAAGAATAACATTTTTATTCCAAAATAGCGTTACATTTATTGTATATTTTGTACATTTATCTATAGAATGTGCTGAGGTAAGCTTTGTAATTTAATATGTAGTATTAACTATTATGTACCACATGATACTTTCCTTTTAACGGACTTTTTAACCATAAACATTTTAAACGTTTTGACAACAAATTTTTATGTATTACTTAAATCAATTATTTCTTAGCTTGAAGAAAAGATTTGTTAACTAATTCATTACATATGCGACAATCTGTATAGTGGACAATACTAAAATATTTTAAAATTATTCCAGACATAAATAAGGAGCAGCTCAAAAAAGTCGATTCCAATTTCAAAAACATTATATTGCCCAAAACTTTGTCTACATTGCCCATTACTGCCGATGAATTGCGCTCTTTGTATTTTGGTGACAAAGCAGTGTCAGAGGAAACTCTAATGAATTTCGCTGATTTTCTCACCGATGAGTTCTTTATTCGTAATATAATGGAAGTAGTGGATATTCAGACAAAGCTGAAAAATGGTATGAAAGCGACGTATCTGTATCAATATTCATACAACAGCGAAACTTCTCCAATGAAAAGAGTATTTAACATACAGGCTTCAGGTATTATCACTAACTAATTTAAGACACTAAAGATCTTCTTTTAATCTTATAGAATATGAATACATTCATATCATAAAACTGTAACATAAAATAATTTTAAATGTTTCTAAATGTGTATTTTAAACAAACAAAATTGATTCTGTTTTATAGTATTTAATTTAGGAAATAATTCGTTTTTTTTTATATTTTAAAAAGGCTAACTTATCGGTTTAATTAACGACAAAATATTTTAAAGGTGCGTCTCATTCCGAGGAACTGGGGTACATGTTTTATCCTAATATGATAAAAGATCTCGGTATGTCACCACCTGCAGTTGATTCGGAAGACTATAAAATGATGAATTGCCTAACGCAAATGTGGACGGATTTTGCTAAAACAGGGTACGAGAAATTTAATTTCTCCTTTTCGAACTTTAGAGAGATATCTTTTTAATCACGACATTTCAAGTTTATTGATCACATATTAATAAGTAATTCTTAATCTGATTTAGAAATCCAACGCCTGTTACAAATATGTGGTTACCGGTGACCGGTGACCGCGGAAAGTACAATTACCTAAATATCGATAAAAACTCGCAAATGAAAATCTTCCGTAAGGGAGAAGAAAGATGGGATTGGGAAGAGAAGAAAAATAAGTTACGACGCTAAATCTTTATCTACGTTAAGACTGGGTTTCTTGGTGTTGTTTTCAAATTTATAATAAATATTTTTTTCGTTATTTTTTACTGACATAATTTGAATTAACGGAATGTAGGCACTATTATTATTATTTCCTTTAAATTCAAGAGTGGTTTTAGTTAGTGGAAATATGTGGATTAATAATTTTCGAACTACGGTATATTGACAAGAAGATTCTCGCAAACTCAATTTAAGAAGTACTATAATAAATCATACAATACTATTTGTCGGTGAATGTCAAGTAACTTGAATTGAATACAAACTGAGGATTTCTCCCTAAAGAGAAATACTACTATTAAATAACTAAACTGTAATGCAAATAAAATTAAAAGAAATAATAAAATATTATTACACATTTACATTGTTATTGCATTAAACAGTGCGTGTTTCTTCGGCCGTTAATACAGTATACATATTGAATCTAAAATATTCTCTTTCTTACATTTATTTTTTTACATCCTATGCAGATTGCAGCTTACTCAGCTACTTTTTTATGTTTTATAGTAATATGTACATACATATGCAACGCTTTTAAATTTAAAAGTAACTTCAACTATTACTACAATACATTGATTTGTCTTTTTTGCTGAATTGAGCTTTAAGGCGATATTGGAAGGTAGAAATTACTGACATTTGCATTCTAATAGATAACTCCGAAACGGATTTGAAAACACTTTTACAGGATTGAAATAGAGATAAAATGTAAGCGCGCGAACTATAAATTCGTAGTAAAAACGAAAAATATTCAAAAATTACCTTTTTTCAGGTCGTACAGCTATCATAACCTGTCACCTGACGTATACATTTCATTGGTACAAAAGTTCTGTAGCTCATATGTACAAAAAAAATAGTTTGCGCGCATCGGATTATTTGCACGAATAATACAACTCCTTTTCAGCTACGATTGAAAGCGTAGAAAAACAATTATCCCTTAGAATGCAATTTGTGGTAATTCGTACGCTCAGTTATTCTGTATCTATTCTCATTTTTTATTCTTATAGTTAATATCTTCTAGTGAAAAGAATTGACTAAATTCGAGACTTCTCTTTTTTATCATTCTATATGTCATATAATATGATTGCTAGAAATAAACGATACATAAAAAATCAACAAGTTCGAAGTATCATCTAACTTTGAAGCAACTAGCTTAGTACAATTTTACATCGTTGCTTTCAATACATTGTCGGATCAAGCATGCGAAACGTGAGGCGCATGCGTTTCTAGTATGAAGCCATTGCTCCTGATCGTTTTTTCGCCGTTGCATCTACAGTCCTTTGAGTACATTGCAAATTTGAATACATTGCTCATCGATCGTTCGAAAATTCCGATCGAAGTGAACAGACCGGAAAAAACGCGAGCTACCTATACTACTGCGACGCAAAGTTCGCAGAAGAAACCGTTACAAAACATTGTAAAATAAATCGAAATAAGAATTTAATTTCAATTTCGTTATAGACGTCAGTGGGATTGTACATGCGATGATAAATTAGTATGTGTAAGTGATATTTGCGATTAATCTAACATAACACGTTCAGCCAAAGACGGAGCTGCCCTCGACAATTGACCTTCCAATTTTTGTCATGGATTTATAGACTTCAATAGAAGTATCAATAATTGAACTTAAATTCTCGGATAGAAATCATAAAGAACATCGTTAGAATTAAAAGAATATGATGCATAAGTTATGATAGAAATTCTGATAGAACATTATTTACATTATAATTATTTTGTGATTTTTACGTGCAATGTAATAAATATTGTTTTATCGGTTGGCAAAAATATTTTTTGTATTTAAAATCATATGCATATAAAAAATTGTTTATAAAAAAGAATAATAAAACTTAATACTAATATTATTACCCAATATTAATGTAAAATTTCCAACGTATAGACTGTAATATTGATACATTGTATCAATATTCTTTTTTACATAAAATTGTTAAAATTTTTTTATTAAAACTCTTTTCTACATAAAATTAATTTAAAATTGATTTTTGTTACCGAAAATGGTATTAATTAATCAAAATAAGGGAATGTATAAATATTCATAATTATGAAACACAATTCGTTGTTTTAATTCATAGAGTAGACTCAAAGAGGTAACCACTCAAAAAATAGGTGCACTTGGACTTCAAACTTTCACTGGACTTCATGAACTATCATGAGCTTCATCGGACTATATCGAAATTCGACGAACTTTGACGGACTTTGCCGGACTTCGACAGACTTCGTCGGAATTCATCGGACTTCGAAGAATTAATTATTGGACTTTACTAACTACATCGGACTTTATCGAACTTTATCGAAGGATTTTTGACAGGTTGTGCTGGAATTCAAAAGTGGTTGCCTCCTGGAATGAACCTTATTTTGACATAATGTATAAATTATAAACTTACTTGAAAATAAAATGAAAAATTGAAACTTAAAAAATTGTGACAAAAAATTACATTTATTTTGTTGAAAAATGGCTTTATTTTAAATGTTATTTGTAAAAAATAACGATATGTATTTATTGTTTTCATCCACACATTTTAAAATATTTTCTTTATATTTGCATATATTTCCAATATATTTTTATTTGCCATTCTTTTCTTGATCAAAATCTGTCAAAATTAAAAGTGATTTTATTTGTTATGTAAACTGTTATGCATATTTCAATTTTGTCTTTAATAAGAAGAATTTACCTTTTCTTTTAATTATATTTATAATTCCGTGGG